CGCCGCCATTACAAGATGGCGCCGGGATCCGGACCTTCTTAAAAGTAAACATCCTGCCACACCCATAAGGGGCGTGCACAAGAGCCTGCTCTCCCTCGCCTCCTCCCGTGGCATGATCTCCAGCAACCAATCCGCTTCTTATGATCTCCAGCAACCAATCCGCTTCTTATGATCTCCAGCAACCAATCCGCTTCTTATGATCTCCAGCAACCAATCCGCTTCTTATGATCTCCAGCAACCAATCCGCTTCTTATGATCTCCAGCAACCAATCCGCTTCTTATGATCTCCAGCAACCAATCCGCTTCTTATGATCTCCAGCAACCAATCCGCTTCTTATGATCTCCAGCAACCAATCCGCTTCTTATGATCTCCAGCAACCAATCCGCTTCTTATGATCTCCAGCAACCAATCCGCTTCTTATACATCATAAATGGGACCTTTGGGGCATATATAAGCAACAGCTCTCCCACTTCTCGGCGTCTTTGGTCTTCAGTCTTCAAATAAACTGCTGCAGAAGGATCCTGACTTGTCCTCCCGCGTCGTTCTTGCTGGCGAGACGGAAAGCGGTCGGGGACAGAATCTAACATACGACAGCATGCTGGAACACTGCCAACACCCTGAAAACATACATCATGTAGAATAGGAATGCCCTCAGTCACTGTCTTGCATCCACTCTCCTGGGCGCCCATGGGTTCTGAATCAACTATAAATAAAGTCAGCCAGTGGAGAACCAAGGTAACAACTCTGCTGCTACTAAGTACACACTTAAGAAGGTGGTTGAGGGCTACAAAGCACCTAAGCTGCAAACTCCCAATTTCCCAAGTCCAGCTACTGGGACACCAAGATCAAGGACATTCTTCTGTAGTGAGCTCAGAGGAATGGGAAAGTGCTGTATCCTTTACCTTTGGGGGTTTCCTGCCTTCACACGCTTCATGCTAACCTGAAAAGCCTTCAGTAGCGCTCACATCTACCTTTGAAGTAGCCACCCAATGACCACTGGCAAATTCACATCTATCAAAATCCAGGGTGGAAGATCTGGAGGTATCACATGCTATGAATGTAAAATTACATTAACACCCCTGGCATTTCTCATGCACATTCTGTTAGATGAGACCTTGCTAATCATAATGTGCGTGAACTTTAGCATGGGCAAGAGCAACAAATAGGCTACAGTTTACCCAGGCCTACTGGGAGTAAGCATCAGGCAGTACATTTCACATGAGAATATATGTATGACATGTATAATTATGTATATGAAAATGTATTTTAATTAGGGATTACAAGTGAATGTATAAAAATGGCTTATGGCTGTATATAATACATATTAAGATGTAGGATGGACTTTACAAAAACTTTCTGAAGAATCACGTAAAACAGAATTAGGTTCCCAACACAGAACTCAGAAAGAGGCTGCTGCTATCTATCACCTGCATCCTCCCAAGTTACCTAGAGCTTGTTCACAATCCACTCTGCAGTACCCTCTGCTGGGAACTCTGCCTCAAGCAGGTCTGATTTCTTACTGGTTTCTTTTATTTACCACCCTGAAATGCTTCCAATTGATTGTAAAATAAGGAAGCTTTCTTTGGTACAGTAAATTCAACATAACCCAAAGCATGACAATTTCTATCCTCCACAGGCACCCTTCAACTAAAGTTTCATCCCCTACATTAAATAATTAACATCTTCAGGGACTGGAGAGATAGTACAGTGGTTAAGAGCACTAACTGCTCTTGCAGAGGACCCAGGTTCAGTTCCCAGCACCCACATGGTGGCTAACAACTGTCTATAACTCTAGTTCCAAGAGATATAACCCCCCTCTTCTGGCTCCCACAGGTTCACATGCACATACATGCGGGGAAAACACTCATAACACGTAAAATAAAAATAATTTAAAATAATAAAAAATAATAATTCAAATGCCAGCTGTTTTGTGCTACATCCCAGGAGCCCAAGGAAGTTCTTAATGCAAGCACTGCAGTGTGATGTATAAAGGAGAGACTGTGAACAGGAGGTGGCCTGAGGTCCCTGGATGGCGGATGAGGAAGGCAGTGGTGATCACAGCCTGTGGACGAAGTGATCCACAGACATGACTTCCCTCAGGCCAACAGGCACCAGAAAGGTTGCTTGTCTCGGGAATCTTGAAAGATCCCTGTGGTAGCCGGGTGTGGTGGCGTACCCCTTTAATCCCAGCACTCAGGAGGCAGAGACAGGCGGATTTCTGTGAGTTCAAGGCCAGCCTGGTTTACATAGCCAGCTCCAGCCCCACGTGGGGCTACAAGGAAGACTCTGTTCCAAAAAGCCGAAAAAAAAAAAAAAAAAAAAAGAAAGAAAAAAGATCCCTGCTGTAAAGGGAGGGGAGCGGGAAGGAAGTGGGAACCTCAATCAAAGACTTTGGGAAACAGAAGTGGTAGGGACGGTACACACCACAAGCTCGGGAACAACATGCAGTGGCTCCATGAACTGAGGGCACCTCACTATAAAAAGATGCCAGGTGTCGGGGCGGGGGGGTGGATGAGGGAGATAAGAATTGTCTAATGAACACAGTTTTAGTTTTGCAAGATCAAAAACGTTCCTGAGATAGATGGTGGTGATGACTGCAAAATGATGTAAATGTATTTATGCCACTTACCTATATACTTAAAAATGGTAAATTTTATATTACATTTATTTTTTAAGTTAAAAAAATATACTACACAACTGCTTCAATGAAATGGCAGCAAAGTGATTTGAGTAAATACAGTTGGGTGTGTTAAACTGTCCTGGTCTTCTTTTAGACGTGTATTAAAATTTATTGATATTCTGACATTTACTTTCGTATTTGTGTAATCTTATTAAGCAAATAAACCTGATTAAAATCATTTTTTCTGAGAACAGGGGTGTAGCTTAGTTGGTAGAGTGCTTGCCTAGCATGCACAAAACCCAGGGTTTGCCCCCCAATACCACATAAATCCATCATGGGTACACACCTGCCAACCTAGCACTCAGGAGTCGGAAGCAGGAGGATCAGAAACTGAAGTTCATTCCCAGTTACACAGCAAGTTCAAGGCCAGCCTGGGCCATTTTAATGTTTTCGCAGAATATTTATCTCCCCAATTACTTTTACTCAGATGAAAAGTGAAAATGCAAAAACATTTTATAATTAAGTCCCCTACACAGGAGGGAGATGCAATACAAAGAAAATTTAAACACTACCTACCAATACATGAGCTATCAAAAAAGCCACTGAAAACATGTATGTAAGAAAAATGATAGTAGTAACCACATAAGAAAAGCTGGCAAAAAAGCACAGGAAAAACTGTATTTTAAGGAAATAAAAGATATGCCCTACGAATTCACTTTGAGTATATTCCTTTAAAATCTAGAGGACTTTTCCTGTGAATGTCCAGGTCGGAAGTATTTCAGCTCTGAAGGCCACAGGACTTCTCTGGCCACTAGCTAACTCTGCTGAGCTTCACTGGGCTCCAGTAAAGCTTTATTTACAGAACTAGGCTGCATTTGGCCCAAGGGCAGTGATTTATGACTCTTAATCTAGATAAACAAAATAAATAAAGGGCAACTTGAAATACTGCGTATGAAAACATATGTAAAACACTGTCACTGCTATTCTCAATGAACTAGACTCAGAAATAGCAATTTAATGTTTAAATATCCCTTTCCTGCCAAAGTTCTGCTTGTCTTTCAGAAAAAAAGCTGAGTGCTTCAATGTGCTAAAATGTCTGGTCGATTCCAATTCCCACTAAAGATGGAGCGAAACATCCCACCCATGGTAAAACAAACACAGAACCACCCATGGTAAAGCACAGAACCACCCATAGTAAAACACAGAACCACCATGGTAAAGCACAGAACCACCCATGGTAAAACACAGAACCACCCATGGTAAGCACAGAACCACCCATGGTAAAACACAGAACCACCCATGGTAAAACAAACACAGAACCACCCATGGTAAAGCACAGAGCCACCCATGGTAAAGCACAGAACAGTCCTCTTTCTTTAGCAGCATTCTAGTGCACATACGTACTATGAGAACGTGTAGGTTTCTTAACAGCTAACTCTCAAGATAATAAAATTTGGGCCACTAATTCAAGGACATAGCATTCCAGTAATTGTTAAGACCACTCCAAGAGAGAATGACTATTTTTTAAACAGGAAAATGTGTAAAAGACACCTAATGAGAAAACAAGTGAACAATACAGGTGGGAAGAAGCACAAAGCAAAGACTTTGTCTCACACAGAGTCTGAGTCATATGCACAAAGAAAATTTAGGAGACACCTGTGCTGCTCCCTAAGAAGGCACATGGTGGAATGTTCGTGGTTTTCTTTACATTGCTGTTTACTTTTACTTATACAACTATTAGTATGTTTTCCTTTTATTAAGTTTTAAATGTTGAAATTATAGTGAAAGGTTTATCATCTTGCAGCTGGTAAGATGGCTCAGTGGTTAAAAGCACTTGTTGCTCTTGCAGAGGACCTGGGTTTAGTTCCCAGCACCTACACAGCAGTTATCAACAGTCTGTACCTCCAGTTCTAAGGGATCCAACACCCTCTTCTGGCCTTCATGGGCACTGCATACACATAGTACACCTATATACAAGCAAGCAAAACACTCATACACGATAAAATAAAAATTAATTAAGAAAACATGTGCCAGTAGGCATCCACACCTTTAATACAGAACTCAGGAGACAGAGACAGGTGGATCTCTGTGGGACTGAGGCAAGACTGGTCTACACAGCAAGTTCCAGGCCAACTGGGGCTACAGGGAGACCCTGTTTCAAACATCCCACCCTGCAAAAAAATAGTATTTACCATCTTCATTATTAATAATCAAATTGAATAGCAGTTATTAAAAAAAAAAAAAACCTCATTCACTGGCCTTCTGAAACACCACAGGCCATCTACACTGCATAACAAGATTTTAAGCACACACACACACACACACACACATATGCAGGAGACAAGATCTTTAAGGACAAAGTGTCACAGTATACAATACCTCAGCTCCACCCATCCATTTAGGCTCATCAGGAAACTCAGCACACAAAATATCTTCTGATTGATCTGTCCCCAAGACATGGTAGCAAAGTTTTTGGTGGAGATTTGTAGATGTCTCTGTACCTAAAAGTAGAAAAAAATTCAGTTTACTGAAATGCAATTGGCAATTTTAAGAAACTATTCTAGCTGCATCATACAATGCTAGATGCATTTAAAATGTTAAGAATATGGTTGTAGGATACAAGGCTAACAGACAGAAAGTTAATCACTTTCTTCTATACCAACAACAAAGCAGAATTAAAAATTTAAAAGATAATATCATTTACCATTGACATCCAACAAAATGAAAGAGTTAACTATAAATCTAAATCTAACAAAGTATATACAAGGTCTGTATAAGGAAAACTGCCAAATTATGTCAAAGATATAAAACAACAGAGATACTCCATGCTCGTAGATAGAAAATGCAATACTCCCAAGATGTCAGTTCCTCCCAAGGACTTCGGCGTGTTAATTTATTGATATGGACAAACTGATTCTAGAGTTTACATGGAGAGACAAAAGACTCAGAATAGCTTACAAAACACAGGGTGAAGAACAAAGTTGGAGGACGGCTACTGTCTGACTTTAAGAATTCTTGCAAGCAGTACCTGGTGCACTGCACATGTAATCCCAACACTCAGGAGGCACAGGCAGGAGGACTGCAGCAAATGTAAAACTTAGCCAGAGTTACATACCAAGTCCTTATCATAAACAAACAAACAAATAAATAAACAAATAAGAGACTCACTAGAAAACTACATAAAGAAGTGGGAAATAGAGGATGATGGAATATCCTTCCAGAAAGCAGAAAAAGGGACTATATCGGGGAAGAAAGGTAACTAGCTGGAGGGGAGGAGGGAAAAGGGCCTCAGGGAGACTAAGGAGGAGGGGACCAACTGAAAATGAAGTATAGTGACACATGTGCAGGATGAAACCCATTATTTTGTATCCTAACAACAACAACAAAAAAAACTGATGAAGAAAAAAGATAGAGTAATCAAGACAGTGCGGTACTGGCAAAATAAATAAGCAAACAGATTAACAGAACTGAGAGTCCAGAAACAGGCCCACATAAATACAGTCAGTTGATCTCTAATCAAGGAACAAAGAAAACACAAGAAGTAAAGTAAATACAATCATTTCAATAAATGGTATAGAAAATACAGAAAAAAGAAGCAAAAAAGGATCTAGACACTGAGTTCACACTGCTCACAAAAATTAACTCAAAGATCATGTAAATGTAAAACACTAAACTGTAAAACTTCTATAAGACAAAATAGGAGAAAATCTAGGTGGCCTTGGATTACGTGTTAAATTTTAGATACAGCAATAAAGGTCAATGATAAGCTAGACCATTACAATTTAAAAGTTATTCTTGATTAAAGATACTATCAGAAGAAGGAAAATCAAGTCACAAACTGGGACAAAATATCTGCAAAATACTGATAAGATACAGGACTGTTATCTAAAATACACAAAGAACTGAAAAGAGTCAAAAATGAAAGAATGTCATCCAATTAAATAGTAGGTCGAAGACCTAATAGTTCACACCAAAGCTGACATACGGACAGCAAATGAGCACATGAATAAATAAATACGCACATCATGTTACAAGGGAAATGGAAATGATAACACAAAGTAACTATTATACAGATATTAGAACTGCTAGATTCCAAAACTCTACAGCACCAACGGAACTGGTGGACCAACTGGGAGTTCTCACCCTCCACTGGTGGGAATGCACACTGTCACAGGCCCTTTGGAAGATTGTTTTGGTAGCTTCATACAAAAGTAAATGTATTTTTACCATCTGATACAGCAATTGTGCTTCCTAGCAGTCATCAAAAGGAATTAAATTTTTTAAATTTTTATTTATTATTTTTATTTTATGGATATGAATGTATTGCCTGCATCTGTGTAAGTGCATTTGTACTGTGCAATGCCTGAGAAGTCAGAAGAGACAACTGGATCCCCTAGAACTGGAGTTATGAATGGTTGTTAGCTGCCATGTGGGTGCTGGGAATCTAGCCCAGGTCCTCTGCAAGAGCAGCCAGTGCTCTTAACTGCTGACTCAGCCATCTCTCTAGCCCCCATAAAATTTATATCCAAACAAAATTTTACCCACATACTTTTTTAAAATAGCAACTTAATTCATAATTGCTAAACCCAAGAGACAAGCAGTTTCCTTCAGTTGTTGAATGGATAAACTGAGGTACAGTCAGATGATGAACTATTATTCTGCATTAAAAAGAAAGGAGTCCTGGAGCTTGGAGTAAATGACTATTACTAAATGAAAGAAACCAATCTCAAGAGGCTACATTCTGTATAGTGCCATCTATAGGACATTCTGGAAAAAGGCAGACCCTGAGGAGACAAAGAAAACTGAGGTGGTGTCAGGCATGGTGGTACACTTGGGAGGCTGAGGGACAGGGATCGTAAGCTCAACATCAGCCTGGGCTATATGGGGAGACCCTTTTTTATTTATTTATTTATTTTTATGTGTATGTGTGTATTGCCTGAATGTAGCTAAGTGTACCTGTGTCGTGCAATGCACACGGAGGTCAGCCTCGAACTGGAGTTACGGACAGTTGTGAGCTACCATGTGGGTGCTGGGATTCAGACCAAGGTCTTCTGCAAGAACAGCAAGTGTTCTTATCTGCGGAGCCATCTCTCTGGCCCCTTTGGAGACCCTTTTTTAAAAACAATTATTTATTTATTTTTATTTTATGTGTATGAGTGTTTTGCCTGCATGTATGTAAATGCAGCCATGCGTGCAATGCCCTTGAGGTCAGAAGAGGGCATTGGATCCTCTGGAACTGGAGTTACAAACAGTTATTAGCCACCATGAGGGTGTTGGGAATTGAATCCTGGTTCTCTGCAAGAGCAGTCAGTGCTCTTAACCACTGAGCCATCTTTTCAGCCCCATGAGACCCTTTCTTCAAGACAAAAGACAAGACAAGACAAGACAAGACAACACAAGGAGCAGTACTTATTAGACATTGGGAGGAAGAGAGTAATAAGTAGAATACAGAATACTTTAGAGCAATGAAAGTAATCTGTATGACACAACAATGCTGGACACGTCATCACAAACACACAGAATGTACAGCGCCAACAGTAACCCTAATGTAAATTCTGGACTTTGGGTGATAATGATGTGGCAGTGCAGATTAGTGAATTATAAATTAGAGTTATTTCTCACACTGGTGAAGGGCATTAATAACAAGAAGTGTACACATGTGTGAAGGAGGAGATACATGAGAAATCTCTGTACCTTCTCTTTTTGCTGTGGACCGATGTATATTAAAAAAAGGTTAGGTGTCAGTTTTCTAACACACTAAAGTAATTCATATATACTTATGGATTTTGAAGACTGTTATGAAACCAAACTTTACATTCTCACTAAGAAAACATACCAAGCAATGAAAGATGATGCCATAATGTAAAATAAAAGTTGTTATGGTACTTAAGAACAGTTTTCTAGGAGTGCTGGTAAGAAGCACATGAGCCCCTCCATTACAGTGTGAGAGGCTCTTGCACACCTCACCAAGAAGGCAGCAAAATTACAACTGGCAGACAGGTGCTGCTTTCTTAAACCATCATAATTCCTAATCATTATTTTTATCACTGAAAGCTGAGGATTAATAAAAACTTACATGTTTTTCACAAATTATAGTAACTTAAAAACATTTTTAATGAGAATTGGCATGATTAGCTTTTTTACTGTAATTATTATTATTTCTCCTGGAATTTGGGAAACAACTAACATTTTTAAGTATAGGGAACTCAACACAGAAAGCTAATTTGGCATACAGGGCACAAATGTATTTCTTTAGTCAGCATCCTTGAATAAAAAGCTCATGCTTAACTCCTCTTAATAGTTCAGTGGTGGTGCACACCTTTAATCCCAGCATTTGGGAGGCAGAAGCAGGTAGATCTCTGTGAGATTGTCTCCCAATTGGATAGTTCCTCCAAGGGGCGGGGCCTGCTGCACAGCACGGACTACTGAGGGGCTGCTGGGAGCCATCTTGGTATAGAAGGTGCAGCCACGCAGCAGCTCAAGGACAGAATGGCCTGACTCTTATGGACCTGGGGTGAGATAGGGGCGTGAGCGAATGCTAACATGGTTGACTATGGGCGTGGCATGGTCTGATACAGAGGGCTCTGAGCACTCATTCCTTTGTAAGTTAATAAATGCACATAAAGATATGTTATACTGGTTTGCTTGATAGCACAGGAGACCTAGAGGGAACTCGGGCGACAAAACTGGCATAGCCCGGCAGGATACGACAAAACTGAGAATGAGTTTTGGAGGAACGCTAATGGCAGCACTGATGTGGTTTTTACAATGGGTTACTAAAAGGAGGCCAGCCACGGGACACCGCTATGTTGTAAATTTTGGGGTATGTTACGATTTGTTAAAGGTTACCCAAAGGTTAGAAAATCTTTTACCTGCTCTGGACCCAATCGGAGTGCCCAGAGAGAGAGAGTGCAGCCACTGTGCATGATAAAAGCTGTGCCCCGGGCGGGGAAGCTGAAAAGGCTACAGGGCAGACCCAGCTGCAGAGCTGGAGACAGAAAACACGTTGACTTGTGTAAGGTCCAAGGACTCAGAGGAACAGACAGATAATAGTAAAGAGGAAGAAAAGCTAACTGTGCTGCAGCTAGGAAATACTCCATGCTGGAAGTGTTAAAGCTAGGAAAAACTTACAAGCAAGCAAGCAGAGAGCCCGTGGCCACGTGGCTTGTGAGAGTATGGACATGGGAGCAAATGACGTCAGTCTAAGTCCTTCAGAAGCTTCACAGCTGAGTTATATAACGACCCATCCGTCCTTGCGATATAGGCTGTTCAACCTAGGCCAATGCAGGCGTGAGCAGTCCTTAATGGGGTGGCTGGTTGAAGGCATTAAAGATACATGGTTGTCACCAAGGGAGACTAACATGATTAGCAGGGGCTGGAGGACTATAAAGGAGGGGCAGGTATTCCTGAGAGAACTGGGTGTGAAAAAAGCAATATATAATGCCCAGTTCACTGGGCCAGATAAGAATGTGTTCACCAGAGATATGAAAGAAAGCTTAATTCAACTAGGACCTCAACAATGGTGTGGGGCTTTAATGGTTTTACTAAGCCCTTTGATGGGACAGGATCTTTATAAAGTGAGAGAGGCTTTGGCAAATCTAAATGATTCTGACCAGCATGTAAAATGTGTCTGTAAAATAACAGAACACCCTATAAGAGATAGAAAAAAGACCAGACCGAAGAAATGGTTCCCTTGGGTTACCTGAAGACAAATGTGGCAAGACTTATGCAAAGCCCAAATCCTCAGAGAAAAAAATGGTAGAAAACCAAATTCAGTACTAAGGCGTTTCTGGAAGGTTTTAAAACCAGAAGGACAATTTACAAAGGACATTCGAAGGATAACAGCTGTGTAAGGGGTGGTTAAGAATTCCCAAGGATTAAATAAGATGCATTTCTCTTCTGATAAAGGCTATACTAGGGGTGGAAGCAGGTTTTCCCACCAAGTCCTCCCCCAGCAACCAGGTGTGGTCAATGGGGAGATGACAGATATGGCTACAGTCAGGAGGCAGACCCAGAGCCTGCCTGACTCAGGGAACCAACAAGTGCAGTGGTGACAGGAGAAGCCCCCTGCCTCCTTGGCCCAGTGCAAGGTCAGGCAACTGGAGCCAACACCTGTAAATGTATCAAGAATAAAAGAATATGAAGAGACTCCATGTAAAATCCCCCAAGTGCAAAATGACTCCAAAGGGATAACTAAAGATTATAAAGAGCTAACCAAATTAATGCCTCGTACCCATGCTATGGTACCCAACAAGGATCTATGGAGAAAACAGTTAATACGAATGGACAAAACCTTTCCATTCTATGTGAGACCTTGAAGCAAAGGCCAGCTATAGCTGTAAGAATCTTGAGAGTTTTATGTAGGTTGGGTAAGATGAAGACAGAGACTCCCAAACTATACAACTGTTAAGAAAATCTACAGTACTAGGGTGGGTTGCCCCCTTATGAGCTGTTGGTCAGAGAGAGTTCCTAGAGGTCCTCCAATTCACCAAGGCTACTGCCATTAATGTCAATTGTACACTAGAAAGGTCGGTAAGGCCATGTTGCAGAGGACACTGCATGTTGTGAGCGCAGGAGAAGAAGAGACGGAGCTGAGACTAAGCCAAAAAAACTCTGTGCCACTGGATGATGTTCATATTGCCAGAAGGCATTATGGAGACGGTTGGGGAAGAAAGGATCCCCTATAATTCTACTCAACAATGGACCCTGCGTGCTGCACACCACGGACATGCCAAGCTCGACTAACATATGTACAACTGACCAATTTCTAACTGGATAAGGCCCACTCCTAGGGGTGGAACACGCATCTGGTGCTGTAGACCAGGCTAACACCTTGTGTCGAGAATGGCTACAGGCCCTAGTGAGAAGCCATCATGCGTATACGGTTTAATGAATATAGTACACCTACTGGGAGATCTTCTAGGCATCTGTATTTACATTCATGTTTGTTTAAATGTGTCTACTTCCTTCCATTTGTCTTTATAGTAGAAGAAACACCACTAAGATAGATCAGTGGCCATGGCCTAAAGACGACTGATGTGGAGGCCCAAGAAGAAGTCACTATCTTGCCATGATACAAGAAAGATCGCCCTACATCTGTCACCTGCTTCAAGGCTCAGGGACCTTAGCAGAAGATGGACGGGAAGATTGTAAGAGCGGAGGAAAGGGGTGGAGTGTCTCCCAATTGGCTAGTTACTCCAAGGGGCGGGGCCTGCCACAGAGCATGGACTACTGAGGGGCTGCTGGGAGCCATCTTGGGATGGAAGCTGCAAGCTGCAGGTAGCACACGAGGCATGGGGAATGCACAGCTGCACAGCAGCTCAAGGACGGAATGGCCTGACTCATGGATCTGGGGCAAGATCACTGGCCCTGGAGGCATCAGTGAATGCTAGCGGGGACTATGGGTGTGGCATGGTCTGATATGGCGGGCTCTGAGCCACGGCATGGGGCTAGACACTGGGTACTCATTCCTTTGTAAGTTAATAAATCCACATAAAGATGTTATATGGTTTGCTTGATAGCACAGGAGACCCAGAGGGAACTCGAGCGACAGGGATCGAGGCCAGGCCAGTCTACAGAGTGAGTTCTAGGCCAGTTGGAGCTATAGGGAGACCCTGTCTCAAAAAGAGGGAAAAAAAAAATGGTCTTGCTAGACCCTAGTCAAAAGCAGCAAATGCTAAACAATGGTTAAAAGAGAAGAAAAACATCATAGCCTTCTTCCCAGTTACACAGGAAAGAAAAGCACTTCTGAAGGCAACAAAAAAGATTCAGCACGTCACAAAAAGATAGCACGCATAGAAGAAAGCCTCATGCTTCTTGCTAGCCCCAAACCCTCCAGAAAGTTCTACAGCCTCTGTACCTAAGTTCCTAACCTCTAACAGAGATGGTTAAGACCAATCATGGTAACAAGAAACTGCTACACAATGAGGAAATGTGAGATAACCAAAGGTGGAAGATGATGCTGACAGCTTGTACCAACAACACAGACAGCCTGTCTGGGGTAATTAAGAGTGGCTGGGGAGGCGGGAGAGGAAGGAATCATTTAATGGCATCATTGTGCAACTGAAGAGAACAAAAGCCTCTTTGGGTCCCGGCTCCAAGATGACCAAGGAAAGAAGAAACAACAATTGTGCCAAAAAGGGCCTCGGCCATGTGCAGCCCATTACCTAGCTGCACAAACTGCACCCGGTGCGTGCCTAAGGACAAGGCCATTAAGAAGTTCATTATTTGGAACACAGTGGAGAGCAGAGGCTGCTGCCATCAGGGACATTTCTAAAGCGAGTGTCTTCAACGCTTATGTGCTTCCCAAGTTCTTTGTCAAGCTGCATTACTGTGTGAGCTGTGCCATTCATAGCAAGGTGGTCTGGAATCGATTCCTGGGAGTCCAGAAAGACCAAACACCCCCACTATGATTTAGGTCTGCTGGTGCTGCTCCACACCTCCATCAAAGCCCATGTAAAGACCTGACTTCACAAGGACAGAAAAAAAACCATCATCCAGGAAAATAAAATTAAATGGAAATTTTACTTAAAAAAAAGGGGGAACAAGAGAGGTGTGCCCAGAAAGTAATAGATGAAGAGAGTCAAGACACAAGCAACCAACAGACCTGTACCTTCTGATCAAGGAAGTGAGTATGTGACTGTTGCCTTAGGAAAGGCCTGCGATTATTCAGTGTCATCTCAAAGGCTGGTTCTGTTAAAATAGTTACCTTTCCCATGATTCTTTGGGAGAGAGCATACACCTGTAAAGGAATGACTGCAGGAGTAAGCCCAACTTTTGAATCCATTTCCTTAGACTTTGGAAGGGGCTGGCCCTGTGACTTGTTTTGGCTAACAGAATGCAGTGAAGTTGAAGTAAGGGCAAGCCTAGATAGCGAAAGGACAGCTTCTGCCTTCTGGGTCTCCCTCTTAGAAACAGGTTCAGCCACATGTGAACACATACAGGTCTGCCTGTGAGAAGTGAAAGGCCATATGAATCGGAGTTGAAATAATCCAGTTATCCCCACTGGGGCTCTAGACATATGAAAGAACCAGGCCAAGTACAGTCAAGTGACTGGCAGCTGGCCACAGGCATGACAGAACTCAGGTGATTCCAGAAGAACTGCCTGGCTAACCCACAGATGGGTAAGTGAAGATAAATGACTCCTATCTCAAGCCACTAAGGTTTGGTGCGGTCTGTTCCAAATCAAAGCTGAAACACATAATGCCCTTTGAGAAAACCTGGCTTCAGCAGGCGTGTCCAACCCACAGCCTGTGGGCCATCTGCAAGGGTCCCATACAGTATGAAAGAGGCCAAATATAAAATCAAAAACTTACTTAAAATATTATGAGATTTCATTCATTCATTCATTCATTCATTCATTCATTCATTCATTCTGTAACTTGAGGGCATGGTTCTCGATGAACACTGTTACTGAAAATGCTGTGTAGTAATGTCAAAAGGTTGGACACAGTAGACCAAACAACCTCAATGAATTTAGCTTCCCTATTTTAGTCATGAAAAGTCACATCTCCTTTGGAAAAAAGTGCTTCACTAATGTGTTCACATACCATCACTCTTTCCATCCTGCTGGGGGTATGAATTGTAGAACATTCCCTTCCCATCATGGGTCCAGGCCATACAGGTGAACTTGACTCTCTCAAGCACATCAGGAAGCTCTTTGGCACCATCAACTTTCATGAACTTGATCGTCACCCAGTCTGAGCCACTGGCACTCAAACCATAGGCAAAATATTCACCATCTTCACTGAATGCATAACCTATGGGGCAGAGGAGACACTGTCAAATGGTGAACAAGAGACACAACTTCTAGCCTTGCCCACTGAATGATGACACATACCATACAATAGAATTAAATTGCAGTCACAAGTAATTTGGGGGTGGACCCCAAAGCAATTGAAGTCCTGCTTTGCAGACTTATTTTCAGAGCATTGCTGGCACTCAGGGATTAACGTCCATACCAAAACATCACAGGCCCAGGTAATCACAGCCTGAAGACATGTACGGAAGGCTTACAGTGTACACATTCAAAAACTGGCAGAAAACAACACTTTGCTGTGGACTGCCATACCAGGTCCAGGTCCCTGTAGCCCCAACAATGTTCTCAGCCTATGGAATGTTTCTTGGCAAATATTCACGTTTTATATTGGCTTTTAATAGTTATAAAGTATTTGATACTATTCTATTCTATTAAATAAGATTCTGACACCAATGATTTCCTTGGACATTTGCTAAACTTTATTGGGGACCTAAAATTAGAAGAGGCTCAACTATTAGCAAAAGTTTTCAATTGGCAGAAACTGAATTTAAAATTTCCTAACATGCTGGGCATAGCAGCATATACCTTTAATCCCAACACGTAGGAAGGATCTCTGTGAGATCAAGGCCAGTCTGGTCTACATAGTGAGTTCCAGGCCAGCTGGGGCTACAAGGAAACCCAGTCTCAAAAAAACAAAAACAAATAAATAAACAAAAATAAAATTTCCCAACATACTTGTTAATCACTTGTAAATGCTATAATACTCAGGATCATACATGAATGAATGCAGAACAAGAATATACAAGGTAACAGAAGGGTAGTCGCCTTTCACTGCACAGAGCACTGTAGTGTTTGGGTTATTTCTACAAGCAGAAAAATTCCAGAGAAAATTTTAATAAAACATTACTTTGATTTAAAATATATGTAAAATGGGGCTGGAGAGATGGCTCAGCTGTTAAGAACACTGGTTGTTCTTGTAGAAGACCTGGGTTCAAATCCCAGCACTCACATGGCAGCTAACAAGAGTCAGTTAACTCCAGTTCCAGGGGATCCGATACCCTTTTCTGTCCTCTGTGGGCCTTGTGCATGGGTACATTTACATGCATGCACACAATACACTCATACACATAAAGATAAAATAATAAAATAAAATAAAATATATGTAAAATCCATAATGCTGGGGCTGGAGAGAGAGTGCAGCAGTTAAGAACACTGACTGTTCTTGCATAAGACCTGGGTTCGAATCCCAGCACCCACATAGCAGCTAACAACTGTCTGTAACTCCAGTCCCAGGGGATCCGACAGCCTCTTCTGTCCTCCGCAGGCATTGCACAACACGGGTGCACTTACCTACATGCAGGCAATATACAAATACACATAAAAAAAAATAAAAAAAAAAAATGTTAACAAAGAATCTGTATTCACTCCTCTTAGCTTCTCTGTAATATCACTCCCAAGAAAGTCAATGAGCGTTTGAGACCAGACCTCATGTCTAATTCATCTTTGCACCATCATGGCCCTGTATACGGTAAACGTCTAAAGAAATCACTGGAATGTATCACTGGGTAAGAGGTAAGAACCTATTATGATGAAGCCCTTCTGACAGGCTGTAAGACAGGACAGATCTTCACGAAAACTACACAGATTCCCACGGAGGATACATGACTGGCAGAGAACAGTATTAAATTCATTTTACACCATAGGCTCATATTCATAGAAATACTGACACAGTCTATCAAGGTGGTTGGTACCTCACTTTCAATACACACTGGATAAAGGATCATCATTTATTACTCAGCCTATTCTGGAAGGAGTAAAGAGATCACTGAGTGACAGAGGCATAGCAGGAAACTCCAAGAAATGCCTGCAGAAGTCTTTCCACAGATCTCAAGGACACTGTTATTCCCTTCCTATCAAGGAGAGGATGTCACTGTTCCAATTTCCCAATTCCAGAAAGCCAAGTCACAAGATAAAGGGAACTGTAGGAGAAATGCCAAGCCACCTTCACTGGGAACAGTTAGAATGCCTTAGAGATAATTACCTGTAGGAAACCAGAATGGCATACCCTAGGGCAAGATGAGCCTAAAACTTTTAAGTCCAAGCTATGTTCTCTACTAAAGGCAGGGGCACTGAAAACAGTAGCTCTGATATCCCTGTCTTGCAGAACACTACAGGGCTAGTTGGAGAAAAGCAGCTGGATCAAAAGTTTAAGCTCCTTGCTGAGGGAAAGCATCTTGGTCAACAGCCCTTAGCACACCTCCCTGTCCTGAAGAAATAACCCAGCTATCATTAGCTAAAAGATTAGGGCAGATTAAAGGTTTACTCCTGGCTAAAAGCTAAAAGTTTACCATGCTTTTAGCTCTAAGAAAAAAAACATTATGGCCAATAAATTACCAGATAGGCATTGGTAACCTTAAGTAAAAGTTCAAGCATCCTGCTTTACATACAGCCCCTAGCTGGCGCCAACTAAAAGCTGTATGTCCTGGTTCTTGTCTAACTGTATCCTAAACCTTTATATGTAACTGCCAAACCCCACATGATGGCAAGTTCCTTATAATGTACAAAAACCTTTTGAATCTTTCAATAAATGGCTTGTTGTAAAGGAAAGAACAAGTCCCAGCACAGTCACTGGTCTGCATAGCCGTCACAAAAGCAAGCCCCCCCTACCACTCCCCCAGCAAGGCAGACTTGGATCACTGAACTCAAAAATAGCCTACTTCTTTTCTCTAGGTCTCCTCTTACAGCACAAACCTTGGATCACCTTCTCTGTGGCCTGGGGAGGAGGTTATATTGGAAGCAGAGTTTATGTAGGTGTACAGTAACTGCAGGTGATATGTACTTACTGAGCTTCTAAAGCTGTGTCTTCAGAGTCAGTGTACCAAGTGGTTCAACTTCCACAAGAGGGATGATTTTTGCTTTTAATTCTAACATTGTTACTCTGATCACCTTCTCCATTTATATTTAGAACACTCCTTGCACAGTTTAAATTTCTTACAAAAGAAGATTTAGGTTTTTGTAGTCAGATTGGTTTCATGGAAGTTAGAGGAAATAGAAATGAAACTTCAACATCCCAGAAGTTAATTTTGGTCCAGTGTGAATTATTCTGCAATTCTGCTTCATGCCATCAAAGTGAGAAAGATGAATGTAACTATTCATATGTTCTAAATATACTATGCAAAAGTTAGTTTTCTTAATATTGTATGTGCATCTGTTCTTCAATATGGTCTACACTCTCCCTGGCACTGCAAGACTTCAGAGCTTCAAGAGGAGCCTCAGCTCTCCCAAGGGCCTGGATGTATAGCACTCACCTCGGAGAGCCACAGTGCCATCATCAGACAGAACGTTGGGGTCCAGGAACACTCTGGCTTCACCCTCTAAGGAATCTTGCACATACAATACTCGCTGGTTCTGCAAACCTGTATTGTAAAAATAAAAATACCTGGGAGACAGAAATTCCCTGTATTTAGCTGTGGTGTTTTCTATTTGTAAGGTAAAACCAAACATAGAAACAAAAAGCAAAACTCACAAGCCCACAAACACAGAAAGGAGCAACTGCAGTCAGGAAGGAAGACGAGCGTGCACATCCCTCCAACGTCCTTCACCTCCGGCTAGTTACCTGAACTGCTTTCTGAATGCGAATAATTTATCATAGTACATTGGCTAAACAGAGACAAATGAAGACTGATTTGCTAGAAATAACACTAATATCAAACAAGGCAGTAGCTTTTAAATGAAGAAGAAAGCAGATTTTTTTAAAAATGAAATTCTGGTCTGCTTCCACAGCCAGGCTCCCAGGTGAGAAGTTCCGCACATTTTATTTCCCAAGGCAAGGGAGATTATGGGCTGGCAGCCACTACTCAACTATGGCCAACACTCAGATGGGAATGGCTCTTCCAATTAAGACTTTGTTTACAAAAGCAGGTGGCAAGCAGGGTCTGGCGCATAGACTACTTTGCTGACATCTGTAGAAGACAGAGAGGGACCAAGGAATTCCAAGCTAAATGTGTGACAGCGTATCCAAACAGTTTTTAAAAGAAGAGGTATGTTCAAACAGGTGCTAACAAGCGATGACTAGGAAGACTGGATTCACTAACTCTACTTTGTGGCCCATTCTTGGGGTAGAAAAAAAATGCATGTAACAAAATGTTTTCAAGTACTACAAACCAAAGATAGTATTAGAAGGAAATAAATCTCCACTGTTTGCATTCAGTCCATCGTTATTAACCACAAGTAAGGATTTCCCACAATCTAGCTTCACAGAATGTATATCTACTAAATTTCTTAAACATTATTTTATGAATTTGGAAAGCACCTAGTAGAACAAAAATTATTCTCATATTCAAGTTTCATAAGCTGCTAAGCTATTTCAAATGTGTACTTCAAACTTTAAGAAAGCATTCAGGGGAAGCCGTGGTGATGGTTCAGTGCGTAGAGTACTTGCAACATGAGAACCTGAGCTCAAATCCCCAGGACCCACATAAAAACCAAAAAATAGGATAAAAAGTGATAGCGAAGACTCCTGATACCAACCTTTGGCTTACAAACACACGCACACATGCACGCACAACCATTCCACACACACACACACGCACACACACACACAAACTTTAAAAAGAAGGCATTAAGATAAAAGATGAAACGTAAGCAATCTGACATACCTCTTTCCTTTCTTGAAGTGGCAACTATACTTGGGGTAGTCATACAATTCAGTCATTCTTTCTTTGTATAAACCTCTGATTGGACACTGCTCAAGAAACGGCACAGTAATCTTGTTCTGTGCCTCCACAAAAGCCTACAAAGAAATTAAATAGGACAAAAGGCAAGTCAGATATAAAATTTCACATGTGGAAAATTATCTCTAAGCATGTATCAGCAAAAGCACATTTTTTTTTTTTTTTTTAAGTAGAGTATGATAACTCATGCCTAAAATCCCAGGAGTCAGGAGCTAACACAAGAAGACTGCAGTGAATTCAAAGCCAACCTGGGCTACAAAGGGAGTCTCTGGTCAGCATGAGCTACAAATAAAACCTTGTTTCAAAGAAACAAAACAGCTGGGTGTGGTGGCTCACATCTTTAATCCCAGCACTTGGGAGGCAAAGGCAGGTGAATCTCTGTGAGTTTCAGGACAGCCTGGTGCACCTAGTGAGTTCCAGGGACCACTGGGGCTTCAGGGAGACTATGTCTCAAAAAAGACGAAAAAAAAAAAAAAAAGGTTTTTTTCCTTGACAATAACTGATTCTTACATGGAACTAATTCCATTATTGCTTACAAGCAAGCAAGAACTCATTAATCTCTCAAAATAATCCTTCGGAGAAGAGCCTTTTATTGCAGTTACTCTGTGTGTACATGTGCTATGCACACAAGTATGGAGGTCAAAAAACTTGTGGAAGTTATTTCTCTCCTTCCACCACGTGGGTACCAGGGATCAAACTTAGGTCATCAGGCTTGGCACAAGCATCTTAGGCCAGAGAAATGGCTCAGTGGGCAAAGATGCTAGACCAACTTTACATACAAGAAAACTGAGTCCAAGTGGTTTGAAAAGTTGCCCAACATTAGGTAATGTACTATTAATAATTTATATTTACAAAGCCCTAAGCTTCTGGGCTTCTTATTCAGCAGATAGCAAGTCCTGAAGAAGAAAGACTTAGAGAAAATTACATACTGTACTAATTTGCCTTCAATTGCTATTACAAAACACTCTGACCAAAACCAACTTGGGGAGGAAAAGGTTTATCTGGCTCACATCTCGTGGGTCACAGTTCATCACCAAGGGAGCCCAAGGTAGGAACTCAGGGCAGAAACCTGGAGGCAGGAGCTGAAGCACAGGCCAAGCAGGAATGCTGCTTACTGGTTTGCTCCCCTGGTCCATGCTCAACCTGCTTTCTTATACAATACAGGGCCACTTACCCAAGGATAGCACTGCCCACAGTGGGCTGGACCCTCCCACATCACCCAACAATCAAGACACTACCCCATAGGCATAGCCATAGGTCAGTCCAATGGAGGCAATTTCCCAGTTGAGGGTCCCTCTACTCGGACATGTCAGGTTGACAACTAAAGCTATCTTGCACACAAACACGAAGGCATAACACTCATACACATAAAATCAAAATAAATCAATAAATATTTGGATACTTAAAAGAAATGGAAGTGAATGGCACCAAGAATGTCAAGAAAAATGGTTCGTAAGAAAAGCAAGAGTCCGGGCTGTTGTGACACCCACCTTTAATCCCAGCACTCAGGACACAGACGCAGGTGTTTTACACAAAGTCAGCTGTATCCAAGTTCTAGCTTTTATTTGCAAGTTAAAGTTTTTTTTTACCTAGCATGTACTAATTTTAGAGAATAATGGGTTTCACTACGACATTTTCATACACGCATATGTAACATTATATTAGTCTTTTCTTGCAAGTCCTGTAAATCTTGGAACTTGGTTTATGACAAGGAATTCTAATCTTTTAATCACACCACACCTGGCCCTGATAGTCCTGAGCCTGACAGCCTACAGAGGAGCTCTTCTCCCTTCAAGCTGATTCTTTTAAACTAGTCACCTGGAAAAGACTGTGAGGTCAGACTCCAGACAATGGGGAAAAGAGGCAGTTCTCTTGAGTTAGAGATAAAAGGCCCCCAAGCTTCTGGGTCCAGTACGTACTTGCTGGATCTTAATGACCACACAAGCACAATCTGCCTTGCTGAATTACTTTCACTTTATCTGCATGTTCTTTGTGTGTGGTATAGATGGGGTCCTTGGAAATCAGTTTTTATTTCTAATGATTTGAGGGCTCATCCAGGATTCTAATTCCATCTAGGAAGAAGTTCAAAACCCTAACTTTGGGGAGATGCATCCCACTACCTCGTTGAGATGACTCCAGGGCTTGGGCATTTGGAACTTCCTGGATTGGTAATGATCAAGGTAGGAAAATCTCTTGGCAATGTAGGGGACCAGCCCAAGAAAACCAGGCAACTCTGTGTATAGACCAAAGAAATGTCATGGGGATGATAAAGTACAGTGTTGGCAGTCGGGGCATTCTGGGGGTTGGTGGACCCTCATCTACAGTCCCTTCAAGGGAATTTGTCAGAGATGGGTGAAGCAGCAGACTTAGGAGCAGACTCTCCACGTTAGGGTTGGAGGGGGAGGGGTTAAGCTTCTAAGGCACCAGCATGGGAAATAATTAGGCCAAATTGAGATCTAATAAAAATAAAAATAAAAAATTTTAAAAGGGGAAAAGGAATAGAAAATAAGAAAGAAACAGATTCCCCAGGCGTAGGGAAATAATTCCTCTGGGTCACTCAGAGGCATTCTCTTCTTGGAAGAAGGGTGAATGATGGTCAGGAGGACCACACTGGTTATTTGGGAAAACATCCAGCAGGTCAGGGGAGGATCTGGCACACCAGAAGTTGAATTCCCCAACGAGCTCCCTAGATAGGACAGCAATAATGAGGTCCCTGGGGAACATACGCAGGGGTAGAGAGATGGTGCAGCCATCAAGGCTAAGGCTAACAACCAAAACACCAAAAGTTTGGTTCCCAGAATCTAGGATTTCTTTACTTTTTCTCTAAAGCTTCCCTCTTGCTGCCATGTGGCTCTAAACCTGCATGGCCTCGTGGCTTTTTTTCCCTCATCCCCTCCGTTCTCCTACTCAGGAAAAGACTGTGAGGTTGGACCCCAGCCACTGGGGAGAAAGATACAGTTCTCTTACATTAGGGGTAAAAGCCCCCCAAGCTTCTGGGTCTGATGTATACCTGCTGACTACGTAACACACCCTTCTGCAAAAGTAAAATCTCCCTTGCCAAGTTGTTTTTGCTTTGTCCACATGTTCTGGATGGGGTCCTTGGACTTCAGGTTTTATTTCTAACACATATAATATACTTTGATCTGTTTGCCAAGCTCCATTACCCTCTCTGTCCCCACTGCCCCAGTTAAAAAGTTTGTAACAGTATAAAAAAAGTCTTGGCCCTGTAGTTCATGTCTGATTCTTGGTAAGAAATGAAACAATATGACAGTACCAGCTCGACCTTCAATAGGTTCCATCAAATGTCTACACATAGCTATTAGGAAGAAACCAGGAAGTAACTAATGCATAATATATTTAGAATGGCACACAGAGATGCACTAGCATCTATCCACTTCTAGAGGAACTCAAGCTCTCAGGGTCCATTCAGGCTCAAAGTGGTGTGTTATGCAGACAAATACACTTTGGGTTCTCCTATACAAACCACCAACCCTGTCTGGAGAACCATGACCTTTTGCTGAAAGAAAAGTTCCAAAACTCATTAATGCTTAGAATGACTTGAAATGAAAAGAATGTAGCACAAGAATACAGAGATTAACAGCTTTGCAAGAGAATAAATCAAGAAAAATAAGATTGTTACAGATCCCATTCTCTTTTATTTCATTGAAACAGAAAAAATTGAGTCCCTCAGAAATGTAATTAATTCTAAGTTGTTTATTGCTAGGGTTGGACAAACTTTGCCCTGTTCTACTTCTAGAAGGCCCTTGAGCTAACCTTGAGCTAAGAAAGGTGTGTGTGAGTGTGTATGAGTGTGTGTGTGTGGTATGAACACATGTGGATGCTTGCCCATGTGCAGGCCAGGGGTCAACCTGAAGTGTCTTCAATTAATCTCCACCTTTTTTATGAAACAGTCTCTCACTGAACTTGAAACTTGACATTCAGCTAGACTATCTGGCCTGCAAACTCCAGGGATCCTCCTGCCTCTGCCTCCCCAGTGCTAGGATTCTAGGCATGTGGCTTTTTATGCAGGTGTGGGTAATCTGAATCCAAGCCCTCATGATTATGTAGCAAAGACTTTAACCACTAAATCATCTTCCCAGCCCCTGGGGGTTTTATATTTTTTAAGGTATCAGTGTAGGATAGAGTAGAGGTATGGCTCAGAGAGATAGTGCTTGCCTAGCATTTGAGGCCCTGGGTTTAATCCCTGGTATTTTAAGGGGAGAAAAATGAGAAAAGTTAGGGATAAAAACACAGCTACATGGGTTGAAATGCCTAAAACTGTCACTCTACACAGAAAAGTTTTGCTCATCCATCCAACATTACTGCAGTGTGACATGACCATCCGAATAAATAGGCTGACTCTTAAATTTAGCTTTCAAGAGTGAGCCTGAACTCAGCATCACACTTATTTCCCTAAAACCATCTCTTTCCTAGAATTGTGCTGATAAAATTGTCTTGCTAGAAAGCTTTCCCTAAAACTGTGTCCTGAATCTGACCCCACTCATAATTTTACTCAAAATGGTTTCTCCAGATTCAATTGGGTAAATACAAATGGGCTCCACCCTAATCTGAAGAGACCAACCAGCCTTTTCATCCCTAGTTCTAGAGTATCTCACGCATCCAAGGTCAACTGTCCTTCCCAGCCCCCACTGAGTTCTATGAGGATGGGGTACCGGTTTTCGGTGCTTTGATCTGTTAATTCTTAAGCATTCATTCCTTATCTTTTTGGGTGGAGTACCAAACTGAAGTTCCCTAGGAAAGGAGATGGGGTGCCAAAGTCACAAGACTCAAGAGCACATGGTTTTGCTGGGGTTAACTGAAAATCATTAGCCCAAATTATGTCCATTAAAAGTAATTCCCACACGATTAGAATTCACTCAGTGTGAAGGAGGAAACTAGTTATTGCTTTTAGTTACACAATTGATACATATCTGCAAAAGCCAGAGGGTGGCAGCAGTTTGAAGATCACAAAGTGTGTCCAAGATTATAACCTTGTTTTAGATGGAAGGGAATACCATGCCAGCTTCACAGATAGGGAGACAGAAGTATGTAATGTTAA